TTTTTCTTCTTCTTCTTCGTTTTTTTTCTTCTTCTTCGTTTTTCTTCTTCTTCGTTTTTCTTCTTCTTCTTCGTTTTTCTTCTTCTTCCTCTTCTTTTTTACTCTTAATCTTTTCATATTATTTTATGTTAGTCCCCCCCCCCTTTTTTACGCTGTTCTCCTGTTGCGTTCGTAATAAATCGTCCGAATTTTTTATTACTGAGTCTGATTTCATTTCATAATGTTTCGTTACATCAACTTGTCACATTATCTCTTTCAGACATCAGTAGTGAACGATGAAATGTGAAACTGTCTGAAATCTTCCTTTTAATTTCTATTTTCGTCTGATTATTTCACGATCCATAGTCGGTTATTTTATCATTATTATATTTTCAATTATGTATATTCTTTAGCCTTCCTTTTATTCTACTTTATCTTATTCCCTTCTTCGTCTTTGTTTTAAATTTGTGATTATAATCCTTTTCATATAGGTTCTATTTTGGTTTATCTTTTCATTTTTATTATTATTTTATTAGTTTTATTATTTTATTATTCTATTACTATTGTTATTATTTTATTGTTTTATCATTAGTAGTTTTTTTCTCTTTTTTTCTTCCTTTTGTTTATACGATTTACGGTAATTTTTCATATATTTATTGTTATTCGCCTTTATCTTGCTTCTTCCCTTGTTATTCTGATTTACGAATATTATCTTTTTTCATAGATTTTATACTTTCCCTCATCTTCCTTGTAATTCACAATTATCAATTATTTTTCCTTATTTCCCCTTTTTTATTCTACTGTATCTCATTCCCTTTCTTCTTATTCTATTAAAATTTGTGATCATTATTTTTCCCAGTTGGTCGACTATTTTTTTTTTTTTTTTTTTCTTTTTTTCTTTTTATTTGTCCTTCCTTCCTTTCTTCCTTTCGTAAACAAGCAGCCGTCTCGTTATTTACCCAAAAAGGAAACTTTTCGGGGAAGTTTTGTCGTCAACGTTTAATATATATGAGGTAATGACGGGTTTTCTGAATTGGCATTGTTGAAAGGGAGAAGAGAGAGAAAGGGAGGAAGAAAGGAGAGGGAGAGGGGAGGGAAGGAAGGAAAGGGAATAGGGAAGGTAGGAGGGAGAGAGAGGAGGGAAGAGAGAGAAGGAGGAAGGAAGGAAAGGGAATAGGGAAGGTAGGAGCGAGAGAGAGGAAGGAAAGGGAGAGAGGAGGGAAGAGAGAAAGGTGGGAGAAGGGAGAGGGAGAGGGGAGGGAAGGAAGGAAAGGGAATAGGGAAGGTAGGAGAGAGAGAGAGGAAAGGGAGAGAGGAGGAAAGAGAAAGGGGGAGAGGAAAGGAGAGGAGAAGGAAGGAGAGGGAGGAGGGAGAGAAGGAATAGGAAGGAGGAGAGGAGGGAAGGAAGGAGAGACGGAGAGGGCAAAGTAAAGAGAGAGAGAGTGGAAGGGAAGGAAAGAAATGATGGGAAGAGAGGGAATGAGACAGGGAGAGGGAAAGAGAGAGAGAGAGAGAGAGGGGGGGGGGCAGAAAGAGGGAGGGTGGGTGGGTGAGGCAGAGCAAGAGAGAGAAAAAATAACAAAACTGCGAGTAATACATGTTAATTGAAAAGCAACCCCTCCCACCCCCATCCCTCTCTCCCTCCCTCTCCCCCTCCCTCTCCCCTCCCTCTCCCCTCCCTCTCCCCTCCCCCTCCCCCTCCCCCTCCCTCTCCTTCCCTTAAACACGACCAAGAAAACACTGTTTATAATCAACGGCACTTTTGCTCTCTCTCTCTCTCTCTCTCTCTCTGTCTCTCTCTCCCCTCT